TTTCTTAGCACTTCCATCATGTTTTTCACTCCATTAAACGTCACCCTTAAGGGGCGGTTCTTTTCTTTCTCATATTTTCCTATTCTTCTAAAATCACTGACATTTTCCTTTGAGCCTTCTCCTAAACCTACTATTTTCTCTATGATTTTCATCTCTTCTGCCGCTCGGTCCACCCTAGATGGAATTTCCTTCTCTAAACATCCAAAAATGATTATGGACTTAGTTCTATCTGCAGTGTTTTGTACCAGTTTACTGTTGGTAACCAGTTCATGTGTTAACTCCCACACTCCCACACAGTTAACTGTGTGGGAGTTTTGTCGCTTAAGACCATCTCCCATTGAATGGTTGCAAGGTCTACATTTATTTTTTCCCAGTCGATCCTCTTATTGTTGAAATTGAATTGATTGAATATTTCTTCTCGCTTGTTGGGTCTCATAGACCTACTACCGTTATTTATGCTAGTTCACACTTCAATGAGCTTATGGTCTGAGTATGAAGTACCCGAGATTGTTATGTCTCTGATTAGTTCATCATTGTTTGTGAATAACAAGTCTAGTGTGTTTTCGTTCCTAGTTGGTTCTGTAATCTGTTGATTGAGCGAGAATTTGTCACAGAATCTCAAAAGTTTCTCTGACCTGTGGTTGGTTATTTCCCGGCTCATTCCCTGCTATGATATTTGTGTTTGCCATTCTCCATCTTAGACTCGGTAAATTGAAATCTCCAAGGAAGATAATATCTGGAGCTGGGTTTGCTAGGTTATCAAGTATGTTCTCTATTTTGTGCATCTGCTCTGTGAATTCCTCAACCGTTGTATCTGGCGGTTTATATATTAGAATAATAATTAGGTTTAGTTTCTCTACCTTAATTCCAAGTACCTCTACCACCTCATTAGTTGAGTTTAGTAGTTCTGTGCATACCAGGTTCTCTTTAATATACAGACCTACTCCTCCATTTGACCTAGTTTTTCTATCACATCTATATAAATTATAATTTGGAATCCAGATTTCACCATCCATGTAATCTTTTGTATGAGTTTCCGTGAATGCCCCAAATATTGAGTTTGACTCTAATAGGAGGCCATTTATGAACTTAACTTTATTCCTTGGCTTTGGCTTTAAACCTTGAATGTTTGCAAATATGAATGATTGTCCATATTGTGTGTGTCACTTCTGGAAGGTTTTGGTAGTTCTCTCTCCTCTCTACCCTGACCCAGGGTGTGTTGTGTGGCAATGGTTTGACCAGTTTTGGAAGTGATACTGGGGAGTGTGGCTACCTCAACGACTGGCTGATTTGGGCTCCCAGTCGGTCCGAATGTCTGCTTGCCAGGGATTTGGTGCTTTCGAAGCTCGCCGGGTTCGGGTTCCTGGTGAACTGGAGGAAGTCTCATCTGGTTCCTTCCCAGGTTCAGTCCTGGCTGAATCTTATGTGGGACTCTTGGACCGCTTCCTTGTCTCTTCCCCCGGCGTCTCCTTCGGCTGTGGTCCCGCCTGTGCTTGTTTCTGGGGGCTTCCGGGTCACCCGGCGGTTCTTCGAGGGTCTGTGTGGGAGCCTGAACTTTGCGATGTTGGTCTACCCGTCGGGTTGGCTGTTCTTGTTCCTTCGGGGACGTCCCTTCCACCTCTCTCGCGATCGCTGGGTTTGTCTCCCGAGGGCCTTGTGTCGGCTGCTGCATTGCTGGCTTCCTCTTCGGGGTTTTCAGGGTTCTGTGCCTTGGCACCTTCCCGAGCCCTCGCTTCATGTGTTCATGGACGTGTCTTCTCTCGGCTGGGGCTTTGTGACCAGTGCTCACCTGGCCGGCCAGTGGCGGTGGGGTCCGTCTTTCCATTGGGTCCACAGCACAGTGCGGGAGTTTGCGGCGGTGTGGTTTGAGCTTCGGAGGGTTCGGGTCACCCGTGGATCGACGATCTGGTTCCATTCGGACTGCTCCCCGGTGGTTCATTGCCTGAACCGAGGGGGTTCGATGCGGTCCTTGGCTCTTTGTGGTTGGTCTCTTTGGGTGACTCGTCTGCTGAGTTCTCAGGGTTTGACTCAACTTGCGGTTCATGTCCAGGGGGTATCCAACGTCCTGGTGGACGGCCTGTCCCGGTTCGTTCCCCTGTCCACGAAATGGACGGTTGACACCGACTCATTCAGTTGGCTCTGCCGGACGTTCTGGGGCCAGATTCACGAAAGCACTTACGCAAGCAGTTACGAATGTGTACATCTTTCCTCAATCTATGACGGCTTTGGTTACATTTATTAAACAGTTTACAAGCATGAAAACTTGCCAATCAACTGTTGTTATTGTTATAAACAGTCTCCTGGTGCTTCGGAGCTCATTAACTGTTTAATAATTGTAAACAAAGCCGCCAAAGATTGAGGAAAGATGTTCAGATTCGTAAGTGCTTGCGTAAGTGCTTTCGTGAATCTGGCCCCTGGTGCCCGGAGGTGGATCTTGTCGCGTCAGCATGGTCGAGGCGTCTTCCGGTATATGTGGTGCCCTTCTCCGACTGTGAGGCTGTCGGGATCGATGCCTTTCGGCAGGACTGGTCAAGGTGGGGGTTCCTGTACCTCTTTTCTCCGGTTCAGTTGTTGCTTCAGGTCCTGGCTCACTTAGAGACTTACCATGGGCGAGTAGTCCTCTTGGCCCCATGGTGGCCAGCCCAGCCGTGGTTTCAGGCGCTGCTTGCCCGGTGTCTGAACCCGGAGATTTTTCCGCGGCTCCACCTCTTTCAGGAGATCGACCCGGTCTGATACGAGACTGGTTCGCTCTTCTCCTCGAGTCTTCGCTTTTGGTATTTTTGACTCGTATTTATAACTATCTCTATGGTGTTCAGGTAGCCTCCTTGCTGGTTTCCCACCTGTGGGCTTCCTCTCAGCGACAGTATGAAGTCTCCTGGCAGTCCTTCCGGTGCTTTGTCCCTTCGTCGTTGCTCTTCGCTTTTGGTTCGGGTGGTGTTGTCCTCTCTCTCTCTCTCTCTCTCTTGGTTGTTTCAGGACTGTCGTCTTATGCCTAATACTGTTGCCTCGTATCATGCGTCGCTGGCGGAGCTGCTGCAGCTTGCTTTTGGTATCGATGTTACTTCTGCACTGTTTCACAAGCTGTCTCATGCTCCGCCTGAGCCATCCTAGTCTTTGGACAGAGTGCTCTCCTATCATTTCTTCTCCTCGGTTTATTGTGGCCCCTTCGGTTCAGGATTGTTTTGCTAGGCTCTTTTTCTGTTGGCATTAGCCTTTGGGAGTCATGTGGCAGAGCTTCATGCTCCTCTCCGGCGCAGAGGTTTTTGCTCTTTTGGTCGTGGTCGTAGGTATGTTTGTTTACAGCCGTCTCCCTCTTTTCTGGCAAAGAATGAGACTGCTGCCGTCCGGAGGGGTCCTTGGATTGTTGATGCTTGGTTTGTCAGGCCGGGGGTTCATCATGTGTTGTGTCTGGTTGCGGCCCTCTGCCATTATCTGAGCGCCACAGCTTCTGTGTCTGGGGACGTGCTTTGGGTTGATCCGGTTTCCCTTCTTCCCGGGTTTAGGTCTCTCAGGTCGTCCGCATGGTAATTAAATCCAGCCAGCTTGCGGTCTATCCCCGTGCCCATGACGTTCGTAAGTTTGCTGCTCTTGCTGCCGTCTTGGGCTGACATTCAGGCATGGGGTTTTTTGGCAGTCGAACAAGGCCCTGGCTGCACACTACCTCGTGAACGTTCCTGGGCCCAGTCGGGCCTGTGTTGCTTTTGGTCGGCGGTTGCAGCCCGTTGTCTCGACTTCAAGTTGAGGAGTGGAGCACCGACTGCCTCCCAGGTAAGTCCCCTTTTATTCTGTTGTCTTTGGTGAAGTAGCTCCGTGGAGCCGTAGGGGCTTCCCCCCAGAAAACCAGCATTGAATATAATGAAACACCATTTTCTGGGCGAGTCCCGGAGGCTCCCTGGCAACTCTCCTTCCCTCCGGTCGGCGTTTTTTTCGCGTTTTTGATATCCAGCCTCAGAACTGGGGTGGGGATCGTCGGTGCGGGGGTCTGGGGCTCCCCCTTCCCCCACCCAGGGAGGGAGGAGCTGCGCAAACATGCGGCACGGCTCATGTGATGTCATGCTTATTGCCTGTTTTTCTTTTGGGGAGTTCGGTCTACTCGTTTGACGATTTTCGTTGTTAACCGGAATAGGGGTTTGTTTTGTGCCTCTTACCTTTCTGGGTGCCTGTCTAGGTCGATGGCAGATATAGAATGCTCCAAATCACATGTGCATTTCTATGGGCCATTCTTCCTCGTGCCTTTGTGAGGGGGGCCAGGTTCTGGCTCGTGGTCCCCGTTAGGCCTAGAATTCCACCCACATCGACTGATAAAAATAGTTAGGTAAAAAATAAATAGTAAAAAATAGAGCTATCCATGTCAGCCATGGATAGCTCCGGGGCGGTTATCTTCTTGAGGTTATCTTGAGATAATTTCGGGGCTTGGCATCCCCGCGGCCCGGTCCTTGACCAGGCCTCCTTTTTGTTACACACCCTCCGGGAAGCAGCCCTTAGCAGCTGTCTAACTCCCAGGTACATATTTACTGCTAGGTAACAGGGGCATCAGGGTGAAAGAAACATTTTGTCCATTTGTCTCCGCCTCCACAGGGGATCGAACCCAGAACCTCAGGACTACGAATCCAAAGCGCTGTCCACCCAGCTGTCAGACGCCCTCAGCCTCCGGGACTCGCCCAGAAAATGGAGTTTCATTACATTCAGCGCTGTTTTTTTTGGGATTTGGGGAAGAGAGATACTGAGGCCGACATTGACAAGGAAAAATAATTGTCCTAGAAGAGGACAATGGAAGGCAATGGGGAGAGATTCTATGATGGCATTAGAAGTAAAGAATATTTTGATAGGAGTCGCTAAAGGCTTGTATGTTAGTCATCTCTTCAAAGTCCTAAACTCGGACACATGCCTGATGAAAATGAGTCATTGGCGAGTTACACTTATAAAACACATTTTATAATGCAATGTGTTTATAAAAATGACAGTACTGTATTGCCAATTGTGTTTGTTTATTTTTCCAGACCCTCTCGGTGGAATTCATTCACGATCCAGAAGGAAAGGATGCCATACAGGAATATATGAAAACAAAAGGATATTTTGTTCACTCAGAAGTTAGACACTACAACTGGTTAGCTAATGACTTCATATTTGTTAAAAAATCCATGCAATGATTAGTACAAAATATTGTAAGTTCAGCCTACAAATAACAAGAGGAAAGTTTTTATATAGGTGATTTTTTGTAAGATATTATTTTTTGCCTCTTTTGTAATACAAAATGTTTAACCCTTGCACTGCTCACCTATTTTCGGCAAAAACGTCTTGGTGCAATTGTCAAGGACATATTTTTGTTATTTTTACAAATGTTCAGGTAAATTTAATGTCAAAATGTTTCCAAAGTCAACTATTTACATTTCAAAACACAAATAGTGATGAAAACATTAAAAAACATTAATATATAGCCAAATTAAAAAACAAAATGCACAACTCTCTGAGCGCCTAAAGGCGCTTTGCGCAGTGCAGTGGTTAAACAATTATGTGCCATGAATACACATAATGAGTGCGAACTACGAATATAATTTGTATAGCAGGCTTATGTTGGAAAGCGTGTGTGTGTATGTTATGCAAGAAAATTGATCAGGTCGCGCTCGGCACACGTATGCTCACTACAATGTGTACTCACGCTATCTTAGGAGTTCTCAGTAAATTAATTCGTTTAGTCACAATTATTTATTAATAATCTCAAAAGATTTAAATCAACGTGTCCGTTACATTTTGTAATACCAGCTAGCAAGCGTCACACTGGATTTATGCATATTGCATGAAGTTGCAGTGATTGCAAACATTTGGAAGGGAATGTAATTTTATATGTCAAATATGTTGCAAGTTTTGCAACTCTCCATATTCACACACGTATAGAAATAAACACACCTCATGTAAGGACACACGCTTCTATGTATACACACCTCATGTAAGGACACACGCTTCTATGTATACACACCTCATGTAAGGACACACGCTTCTATGTATACACACCACATGTAAGGACACACGCTTCTGTGTATACACACCTCATGTAAGGACACATGCTTCTATGTATACATTCACATGTAAGGACACATGCTTCTATGTATACAGACACATGAAAGGACATGGGCTTCTATGTAAACACATATCATTTAAGGACACATACTTCCATGTATACACACACATGTAAGGACACGTGCATGCATGTACACACATGCATGCAGAAATATCCACTTCAGAATCTCAAATATGTTTTGCAAACTGGCATTATATTAATTTTGTACTAGTTACCATGACTCTCAATACAATGCTTTTATTAATTAACATTTATAATTACCCATTACTAGTGTTTTGAAAGAAGGTGTTAGACTTTGTAATGAGAAGTGTACAGAATACTGATAGAGATGAAGAATAACACCATTATTGAGAGTAGCCTTTATTAACCACTGGATCGTGGTTAAACTCGATTTGTTGAAAACTGCGCGAGCTGAGAAACACCATTTTAATATTTCGTACCCAGTGAAAATGCGCACGCGGTTGGTTGGGTACGAAATGGACTCTTGGGACCTCCAGTGAGAGGCAGTCATCTTGGAAAAAATTCCAAGAATGCCCTAGTGCTGCTGGCTGGCTTAGTTTCGAGTGAGCAACCATGGGTGGCGCACGCACCTCTGGCTCTCAAACACGTGTCCGACGCGGTGTTGAAAGATCGCTCTCTATTGGTGAAATTCAGACCTTATTGTCTGAATAACATAAGGGTCATGATATTGCTGAAGCTAGGCACAATAAGGACCTAACGCCAGGGTCGGATGCAAGTAATACAGCACTGATGAGGATGATGCAGTGAGCGTATCCAGTAGTAGCTGAGCGCCATCCATGCTCACCCTGTTATCTCTAATTTTTATAAATGATACATTGATGAATCATTTTCTGGGTTCAGTGATGATGCATCTGATAAAAGTAGCATAGATGGACAGTGTTAGCGGCTTCCATGGTGGTGTTTTCCATCAATTTTTTCAAGAATAGCTGAATCTCTTCCAGGATACCTGAATCTCTTCTAGAATACCTGAATCTCTTCTAGAATACCTTAAAAAGCAATCTTTTCCTGTAATCTTCTCAAGACTACCTTACACTTCACAAGCTTGGCTACATACCACTTACAGGTACTAAAGCCGAGGGTATACATGAGTGCATTATTTGCAAGCACACAGAATGAAGAAACAGGAAGCGAAAATCTGTATGTACCTGGTGCATCGGGAGTGAAGTTGTGCTGTAGACCATGGAATGCTTCTTTGATTATCACTCATTCCTGAAGTACTGAGTGTTTAACAGTGTTTGACTGTATAAATTGAGTGAGAAACTGTACATATTGTAATTTTAGTGAATTTTGAACAAGTAATATTGCGACTAAACATTTATTGTGGACACATTACTGACGCATGTATCACAGTTCCATGGAACATTATGAACATTCTACTGTATAATAATTGTAAAGGACACATATATGCATTAGATACTATAACAAAACATCATTATGAAATATTGAACATACGTAGAAAAATTATTTGTAAATATATTTGTGGCAACTCATGAGGCTTGAATGGCCCACGCGATCGCTTCTGTGAGCTTCACGCATGGTCGACCAGCTCGTGATGACGTCACGCACCACTTGGTTGACGTCCCCACCGCCAAAGTAAATGGAATTTTATATTTTGTTTTTTTACATGTACATGTCCAGGAAAGGGATTTTAACAATTTAGAAAGGAAAAAAATTTGGGAACACTTTATTTTTAGCGCATCACCAGATTATCCCAATAAATGCAGCATATCACAGAGGTTAAAGAGCTTTATCGAATCTAGCAGATGATTGATTGATGACGATTAAGCCACCCAAGAGGTGGCACGGGCATCAATAGCCTGTAAGGGGTAGATTTTTTGAGTGAATGTGATCTTTGGTCGTGATAGTAGAGATAAATTGTGCTAGTAGTCATATAGGGTGAAGACAGTGGAGCGAAGACGGGGTAGGAGAGTCATTTGTGAGGTGAAGTAATGCCTACGCTCGCGTATCTAAATTATATGGGTAGGATATCCCCCTTTCCTTGCCGGATAAGTCGGACATTTATTTAAGCAGAATTCTTACAGGTGAAGTTCAAAAATGGCCATATTCCTAATGTTTTGTACCACAACCACCATGATTCTTATTTCCATACTATAAATCAAAATATAATTTGAGAGAGAAACTTCAGCTTACCTTGTTGTAGTGTGTCTTCTTTTGTGATACTGCAGATCTTGAATTGTATAGTTCTTGAAAATTTATGTATCCTTATCTCAGGATATCCGAATTTCTGTTTGAATATGACAAAGTTTGGCAGAAAATTATCCGAACCCGATTTTGGCCAGATAACCCAAATATTCGGTTCAGTGCGCTTCGGACAACTGAGCTCATACAGTATTTCACAATTGTTGTTGTTCTAGCGGCAGTTTAGAATGTGGTAATGCTGATTTTGGAGGGCTTGATGGCTGCAGATTCTATGTGCTGTGTTTTAATATTGTTTTATTCATTAATGACGTGCTTAGCATCCCTAAAATTCCTGAGATCTCATTGCCAAGAGACAGTGAGACCTTACTGTGTTCCGATGCAAGTATTGTTAGCATTACATGTTAGACATACTGTATATGCTGGCATATAAGTCGACATTTGAACCCTAAAAAATCTTTCCCAAACCAGGGGTCGACTTGTCCGCTGGATATAGACTGGGAACCTTTATCACTGAGAGATAAACAAGCGAAACACCCAGCCTAAGACTCCTTGTTACACCACTTGTCATAACTCTCCCAGCCCATCACAATTATTTTGATAATTTCACAAGTGAAATATACACACACACATGTATCCATGTATATACACACAAGTATGGTCACATGCATGCAGAAATATCCACTTTAGAATCTCAAATATGTTTTGCAAAGTGACATTATATTAATTTTGTACTAGTTACACCACGTGTAGTCATGTCAGGAGGGCCACACCACGTGTAGTCATGCCAGGAGGGCCACACCACGTGTAGTCATGCCAGGAGGGCCACACCACGTGTAGTCATGCCAGGAGGGCCACACCACGTGTAGTCATGCCAGGAGGGCCACACCACGTGTAGTCATGCCAGGAGGGCCACACCACGTGTAGTCATGCCAGGAGGGCCACACCACGTGTAGTCATGCCAGGAGGGCCACACCACGTGTAGTCATGCCAGGAGGGCCACACCATGTGTAGTCATGCCAGGAGGGCCACACCATGCGTCGTCAAATTTTGCTCAAAGGGAAATGTATTTCAGTTATTTCAAATGTACCACAATCTTCAGAATTATGATTGCTCCAGTATGACATCTTGCTAATAAAACAGGCAAATTACAGTGTAGATAATGCGATAATTGGCAGTAACATCTCTCAGTTGAATCATGGCCTGGAAGCATTCGACAAACTTCCGACCTATTCACTGCCCACCCGTGCTATCCCTACTGCAGGCTCAGTTCAGTATCATGGAATAGATTATCTGCTTCATGTCAACAGTTACATAGATCAAATAATAACAAATAATAATAAAATAGTAAACACTTTATTAATATGAATAAGGATTACATAGTAAAGATGAATACCGTATTAATGGGTACAATAGTGGACCAGCCAGAGGCTTAGGGCCTGCACAGAAAGTTCTCCGAAAAAAAAAATGGGTACAAAGGTCGATGGGTCGAGGCTAACTATGTTTGTCACTAGGCCTGACCAATCCTGTGCTGGACATGTATCTTCACTCACCTTCCCTGACAACAGCATCTTCTCCTATGACAACCACTGCCCCCACCTGCATCCTATGACAACCACTGCCCCCACCTGCATCCTATGACAACCACTGCCCCCACCTGCATCCTATGACAACCACTGCCCCCACCTGCATCCTATGACAACCACTGCCCCCACCTGCATCCTGTGACAACCACTGCCCCCACCTGCATCCTGTGACAACCACTGCCCCCACCTGCATCCTATGACAACCACTGCCCCCACCTGCATTCCATGACAACCACTGCCACAACTTGCATCCCATATCTTGAGGTTATCTTGAAATGATTTCGGGGCTTAGTGTCCCCGCGGCCCGATCCTCGACCAGGCCTCCATCCCCAGGAACCAGCCCATAGCAGCTGTCTAACTCCCAGGTACCTATTTACTGCTAGGTAACAGGGGCATCAGGGTGAAAGAAACATTTTGCCCAATTGTCTCAGTCTCCACCGGGGCTTGAACCCGGAACCTCAGGACTACGAATCCGAAGCGCTGTCCACCCAGCTGTCAGGCGCCCTCCATGACTTCCCATGACAACTACTACTGCCTCCCATGACAACCACTGCCACCACCTGCCTCCCATGACAACCCATATGTAAATGATCTCCCAGAGGGTATAGAATTGTTTGCTGATGCAGAAATTATGAGGAGGATTAAGATGGAGGAAGATAGTAAGAGGCTACAAGATGATCTAAACAAACTGAATGAATGGTCCAACAAATGGCTACTAAAGTTCAACCCAAGTAAATTCAAAGTAATGAAACAAGGCAGTGGAAACAGGAGGGCAGACACAGGATACTGAATGGGAGATGAAGTACTTCATGAAATGGACAGAGAGAAAGATCTAGGAGTTGATATCACACCAAACTTATCTCCTGAAGCCCACATAAAAAGAATAACATCTGTGGTGTATGCAAGGCTGACTAACATCAGAACTGAATTCAGGAACCTGTGCAAGGAATCATTCCGAACCTTGTATACCACATATGTAAAACCAATTCTGGCATGGGCATGGAGCCCATGTTCTTAACCAGGCATGGGCATGGAGCCCATGCCTGGTTAAGAACAAGACGAAGCTGGGAAAAGTTCGGAGGTATGCCACTAGGCTAGTCCCAGAACTAAGAGGCATGGGTTGTGAGGAAAGGCTGTGTGAAATACACCTCATGACATGGAAGACAGCAGAGTAAGGGGAGACATGATCACTCTCTACAAAATTCTCAGAGGAATTGACAGGGTAGATAAAGATAAACTGTTTAACATGGGTGGTATGCAAACAAGGGGACACAGATGGAAACTGAGAACCCAAATGAGCCACAGGGACATTAGATAGAACTTGTTCAGTGTCAGAGTAGTTAACAGGTGGAATGCATTAGGCAGTGATGTGGTGGAGGCTGACTCCATACACAGTTTATAATATAGATATGATAGAGCCCAGTAGGCTCAGGAATCTGTACATCAGTTGATGACAGTTGAGAGGCGGACCAAAGAGCCA